GCCCTTGCACAGGCGGTTCATCATCCCTGAACAAGGGGACAGCGAAATCGAACGATTGTCACGACCAAGGGGGTACATAATAGATCTCACATGAGATGTACAGCAGCACCGGAAGTAAGTTATATTGTTCCAGTATGCAAAATATTTTATGGCCAAGTGAAGTTCAAATGCATGACGTTTTTCGGAGCGAATCGCGGTGTCACCGGTTAATGATATTTAGTGGTTAAAAGCATATGAATGGTAAAACGTCAGCGATGAAAAGAAGAAAAATGGGGTCTGTTGGACGATAAAGCAACCAGCCTGTGCTAAAGGGAGAAAAAACACGTGAAGTTCGTTGGTAAAGCACTGTTTTCGACTAAACAATTGATGAGATTTATGACTAGCGAGGTAGGAACGGAAAGTCACGACAATAAATTTTGAATCGTTGGCAGTTTGGAAAACCAGATCACGGGGCAATCGATCATCAAACTTTGATGTGTCTTTGTTTTTGATTCATTTACATTAGGACAGGGCAATCGAACCGTAATATCCCTCTGCGATAATTGAAACCAAATAGGTTATTATTTCGTGAACTAGTGTTCATAGTTGCCAATAAATAACAAATTGGTCCCTCTTTGTGACTCAGTCAATTTTAGATCAAAACTTAAAGGCATCATAGGTATTAAATCCCTAAACCACAATACGAGGGATTTACTGATCAATGTGGCTCTCAATTCATGCAAGTTATTTAGAATGACTTTTCATGCTAACTATATTATCATGGTTGCAACGTTAAAGGACTGGGAACAAAAAAGGCGAGTCACATGGTACGAGTACGTAAGCTAGGAGATGGCAGCTTCATTGTTGTACGAATCAAGAGCGCACATATTTTATCGAGGTCTTCAGTGGTTGCTGCTTAGGGCTTGGGTTACCCGTTCTTTGACGCCCCCTTTCACATTGTTGATCCCGCAATGGTACGTGTACAAAAAATTAGATAAGACATCAGAACGTTTAAAATTAAAACTAAGAAACAGGTACAGATACACAGGAACGTGCGGTGGTGATCCAGTGGTAATGTCACCAAATCATCACCCCAGAGGACGTGTGTCCGAATCCCACCACCCCCGTCTGATTTGCCCCCCATTATGTGTTCTATGTCCGCTTCCTCCTTCACGAAAATTGTTTCCTTAGGTACTCAACAAAAGGAAGTAAAAATTGAAAGGTGAATCCAGAAGCCTTCATATTACCATTTGTCCGAGCATTGCTCGATACATAAAACCATCTTCCATCGTTTGGGTTCCGATGAACTCCCTAGCGTTCTGTGAAAAAGAAGTACATTCTCACAACGAAAGCCCGGCGTCTATCACTCAAATCGTGATATGATTAAAAAACGAACGATGATCTGTTGCATCTGCCCTGGTGGTTGGCTATTCGCTAGAAACAACCTATGAATATGACGGCGCAGCAAACGGCAGCTGTTATGTTTTTTGATCGAGAAATGCAGCAACCACAATCAAGCGATTCAACACTACATCCATTGAGTGAGTCGGGTGCATCACATATTTTGAAGACTAGGGCAGTCCTGTTACATCACACCCCGCGTTTCGCATGAACAGCGGGCATAGAATATTTGTTTCAATGAAAGTTACGTCAAAGCGAACGGTAAGTAAAATGCTAGCGGTTCCCCCCCCTCCCAACCGCCCCATCCTGAAACCGGATCAAGAATGCGAGTGTGTATGAGAATGGATGGAAATCGAACCGACACCAATAGAAGATAGTATAAAAACTTGGACGAGCCGAACTGCATCAGCTCGGTTGTGATGACGTGATAAGACCCAAGTCACGTGATAAAGTGATGTAAGCAGATGCGTGCGAACAGATGGGTAATCGGAAGCTTCCGCTGAGTGTGTGTGTGTGCAGAGCAAACAACAGCAGATGTAATTATGTTTGTAATGACATGCAACACTATGCGTTATTCTCGACATCACAAATTCTGACATATGGGAACAAGTCTGCCAGCATACTGGACAATAGACCAGACATTTCATCCGACGGTTACTGCCATCCCAGTAGCTCAGACCACTCGCGTGCATATCGATGAGGACCAAGTGACGAATGAGGAAAAGTCAAACGGAATGAGTAGTAGTTGGAAGAAAAGTGCATGTCGCCAAAATTTTGAGGTTCATGGTAGCATTTCTTTCACGTCAGTTCGATCCATGAACGCACACACACACACACAGTGACCGCTTTGTAAAAGGTGGGTGATTCGGAACGGCAATCGGTGGGTTAATCGAGCGGAGGAGATTATATCTGCACTAAACACGGTTGTGACTCATTATTAACCAGAACGGGTCTATTTGTACATCTAACGATCGGTCACGCATGCACACGACCAAGCTCTAAACGATTTCGTTCAATGCGTTTGTTTCGTTTTGTCAGAGTCGAGTTTGCGTGATAAACAAACCCATACGGTCGATCCTAATGAAGTGTGCAAATTGTTTCCTCTCACCTACTCATGTCCGTTCAGGCGCTATTATTATTACCCAATGTGAATTGGGCTCGATTTGCGGGTATTTTGTGACTGTGAAATACGATCACCTATGGATTCAATTGTGGTGACTAATCCGTCATGAATCAGTCCCAGAAATTACCACGAAAACGTAGGCATATGGATCCCAGAAAAAAAGGAATCTATTAAACTGATGGAATTCGTCAATGCTGACAGCACGGTGAATGGCGACACGTGACTGACACAGTTAACAGTGTTTATCGTACCTCGACGAGGGGCATAAACAAGTCCATGTACAGACAAGGAGATCAGCTGACACCCTGTCGTACGTAAATGGATAGCTCCTTGTCCATGCACATGCCTACGCACGAAATCTTGTCAAGAATGGATGCTTTGATTCGCATAATCAATGTCTAATACTTATAACAGATTTGTATCATGAATTAATTATATTTATCAATAAGACATTAGAGATAGCCCTGCAGAGAAAATGGTCAAACAGGTTGTATGATGATTGTAAGTAAGAAGAATGGAATCAGTGAGTCCAAGTTGTCATACTTTCAATGGGTATCGAGTCCAAAAACAATAGCAATTTACTGCGAATCATGGAATTGGTGGGACACAGAGCTATCGGAACCCGTAGAATGCCAGAAAACCTTGATATATCACTTTGTGCATCTGAACACATGAGGGGGTTGATGCTTTGATCATGAAAGAGCGGAAGAGATAGACTGTAGATACCACAACCCGACGAACTGCAGTGGCTCAGATGCAAATCGAGGCGCATTACACTCTGAAATTTTTTTTGTCTAGAGTGAAGGTGCGTGCAAACTGGTTGTCTGAGCAGGTCTGCTTGTTTATTTTAGTTGTTTCGCATCAACCACGTTGCACTTATCAAGCAATCGTATAGCAGGTAGGCATCGGTATAGCAACAGAATACGTGTTTAAGAGCTCAAGACAACTGCGAAAGGAAATCCCGAATAATGCTAATACTAATCAAGTCTGCTTATTGTTGGACGTGTCAGCATAAAATGCACTTGAGCAACTGATTCCGCTATGGCCAATCGGATGTGCATCTCGTCAACGCAGCTTTGGATTCGGTGACCTGTTCTTTCGTTTGGTTTAGAAAAACAGGACATATGCCGCAGTCAAGTTTATCGCTCGATCCACTGAAAGTCGAAGCAAAAATACCCACTGGAGTTAACCCAATGTTCTAACAGTCAAAGGCTCTGCGAATTTCCATTCAGAGGACTATAGAGTGGAAAAAGAGTAGTATTTGATACTGGCGTGATGAACCGCAATCCAAACATTCAATGATGCAGATGACACTTGGGGTTGTGCAAAGGTTCGATGTGCAACTTCGACCAAAGTGGCAGGAGAAATTCATTCAGTACTAAAAAATCTTGCATAGCCGTTTGTGGAAAAGCTCATCCACAGATAAGCGATAGCCAAGTGGGATTATCATAAGCGAGAAAATAAAAGATCATGTTAGGCATCACCAAAAACAATACCGCATCCAACCCGTGCATATGCGAAATGGGAGAGCAATGGGGTGACCGCCAGGTCAACAATGCAAAACCTTTCATATCATTTTACTGACTTGTGTGATGGGCTGCAGAATCCCAAGGCCAGTTCGTTCACATTCCACTAAAGATGGTCAACACAAACCAATGACAACAACCAAGTGTAATGTGCATCGCATCGATGTTGTGCACATCATAACGCAATGCAATGTGTCCGCACATACACACACACACTAGACCACAAACAAAACAGGTCACATCCTCAGACTAATTGATATCACCCACAGAAGAATTAATATGTGAAAGTTAAGAGAAACCGGAAACCGCTAATTCGTCGTATGTGGGCGCAAAGAAAATCAAACACATGTGCATACACAGACAGACAAACACGATGGAGATTAGAAATAAATAAAGATTTATGAATTGGACAAATAGCGAAAAGGAACCACGTGTTAGGGCGAACGAGGAAAAGACAAAAAGAGGTGAAAAAGCAAGCAAGTGATGAAGTAGGCCGCCGTTGACCAAGAAAACAACGTGTAACTACTTGTCGAGCATTATTACTAGTATTGTTAGCAGCAATACTATTACCATCGATTGCCATAAGGCGTTGTGCTCCCAAAAAAGAAGGAAGATTGCTGTTCATCCACGCTAGAATAGAACAAAGGGGTGAACAAACAATCTCGACAAGTGAGTATTTTGAAGCCGCCTTTTTTGAGCTCGTTCGACACAAAATTCACTATAAACAAAGCGTCGCCAGCAGAGGATAATGAAAATTGTGAAGTGAAAAAACGCTCACTGTGCACTGTTTCGTACAAATATTTATTCAGTCCAGAGGTTTTGTCCAATGGGAAAGCGAAGTCTGTTGGCTAATGAAGGCCAACGGGGAACAAACAGTGCCATGAAACATGCATGGTGAAAGTACTGCCAGAAAGCAAGCTGTGCACTTCCTGGATAATACCGTTCTTCCTATGCTCCAACAGCGCCTCATAAACCCTTGGCAGAATCAAAGGAAGCTAAATAATGTTCTATTCAACTTACCCGGCCCTCTTGTACACGGACAATTCCTCTTCTACTTCAATCAGACGAGATTTGAGCTCATTGCGCTCAGTGAGTAGGTCGCGCAATTCCTGAGCCGTGAAATGCGGTCGTGAAGGATCTCTCGCATCCGTGATCATCTTATCCTCGGCATTCAAACGCTCAATTAGCTGTGACTCAGTTAGCTGAACAGGCTGTGGTGACAAATAAGCGGATTATTGGGGCGAGAAATAGAGAAAACTAGTTGAAAGAAGATACTGGCAGTTGGTTGACAGTAAAACAGCCAAATATGAAGATAAATGAAAACGGTATTCAACCGGAGTGAACTACAACTTACGGAGGAGTCTGTGAACGACACATATGGGCGGTTTCGAGCTGCAACACAGACGGGGAAATGTTTCGGGCACTACCAGTTTAATGGCGAAAAAAGCGTCAAGCATTGAAAGCACAACCATGAGTGCGCCGATGGATACTGGAATTCAATGACCGTTTTATCGATAGCAGCAATCGAATCAAGGGAACACGATGGGCCCGCGCATGCCTTGGCTCACGTATGCATAGATGCACCGTACGACGGTCAAATGAACAACCTAACCGTCTAAACGATGGATGTCGTGTATGGTCATATTCCGACTGCCTCGAGTAACCGTTATTTTATCACTGAACAATAATATAAAATCGTAGAGATTCCGGGACGAAATATCAATGTTGTTGTCCTACTCCACTGGCTTTATATCTCGAAAACTTCTCCGCAGATCCCTTTCATTTGAATCCAATTTATTCCAGATAGCTGCGCTTTCGAAATGAATTGGTAATGGGACCAATCACGAAATAGTCTTTTTTCAAATGGTACAGAATGAAGCATGTGCGAAAGAGAGGACAAATTGGGACGAAAGACTGACAGAAAGAACAGTCTATCAGTCAGGTGACTATGAGCAGACTTGGTGCAGTAGTAGAGTTTCTACGACAGTCGGGACATAGACATTTGTTGTCTGGATCGAACGATGGGACGCAATTGACTGTAGCACTATTTAGATTGCCGATATTCTGAAAGCAGTGACAGACAAGAGGTAATCTTTTGCTGAAAAAGGCCACTTTCGGTGAAGCATGGATGAGAATGTGTCAGGATAGGCTTTTTGTATCTGAAGAGGTGAGAGTTTTAAAATTTCGTATTTGTTACGGTCTCGAGAAAACTGTTACTATGGGAAACAATAACCACTAACCGTTTCATATCGTGAGTCATCAATCGAGAGTATTGCTTACTGATTTGATGGGGCTCGAAACGTGCTGCTTTGGAAGTCATTTCAGCATGAACAACAAACGTAAACCAAACCAAGCAAGACGGGAAAAAACATTCAAAATGTGCTGAAGAATACACCGCGCACAGTTGCCGCAAAAACACTACCCAATCGAAGAGCTTTTGTCAACTAAAGTCCACCGTTTAATAACCAAATTCTTCTAACTTGGTAATTTTTAAGAAAATCTCGAACACCAGTTCGTATCAAGTTTGTCATCCGTGGTGAGAAATCGCAGACTTAACAATAAGTGGTATTATTCGGTCACTTCGGATTCGACCGTACACTCAATTTGAGTCACCCATCCAACCAGGCTGACCACTAATTCGCGACAATAACCGAAAAACGCTGAGCAGTCCAGTGGTGTTAAATTTGAGAGAGCGAATGACTCAGGCGCTGCTGATCACAATCATAAAAACAGCATGTATCGCGTCATGAGGTTTGAGCACCATGTAACAAATCAATGTGAACCCCAGACAAGTGATTTGAAAACATCAGTGGGCCCAGGCGTGTTCAGTGGTTGCTTCAAGTGTCGGAGTTGTGGGCATGATTTCTGCCAAACGGACAATTTGAGTAGTGTGAACTCCACGAGACAGTGCGCTTTTCACAACCAGTGACAAGGAATCTGTGGTCTGGTGACAAACATGCGGCGTTTGATTGCTGAATAATCTTCCAGCCACACTTACTCTAATCCTGACTAGCGACTATTTTAACTCAGAAAACAGAATCCGCACCACATTCCGGCGAGATTAGGGTGCGACACAACGACAAAAGAAGTTTCGGAAATCCCGATATGACACTAATAAAATACGCAAACCAAATAATATTTTCTGAGGGGTTAGTTAGGTAGCCAAAACCAGGAGCAGGAGCATGAACCTCGTGCTTTTCAATAAGTGAGGTAAACCATGGGCCATCTGTATAGTGACAAGCGCACTGATTCATGCTCCTCCAAGGAACCTGTAACTAACAAGTTCCAAGGTAAATCATTTTCACTTTAAAAGGATACTTAAATTCATTTTCTTCACGACTACATTTTGTGGGGAACCAAGTACCCAGCCTAGTGGTGGTGGTGTTGCAATCTGGTTTCGACTGTTCATTAGTTGCGGGAAACCATAAATAATTTTTGAGATATTCTCCTGCGCAGGATTTATCGTGTTCCATACTAGACCGTGTAGAAAGCGCAAACAGACGGAGTACTGGCAGAAACTGTAGAGAATAAAACAAACACAATCAAAATCTGTAAATATAACCAAACAAACATGAATCAACTATACCAGATACCGTAGATGACTGGAGCAGCCAAATCAGCCCAGAACATCCAAAACAACTGACTACCGGACTTGATCGATGACCGAGACGAGCTAAACCCATGGGAACAGTTCGGTTTATAGTACTTGTGAGCTCAGAATGTGCTTAGAACAAATCGTGAGGCATCTGTCACTTCCAACATTGTCATAGACATCATCAACTGATTTCATGTTTCTTCAGACCAATGCATGAAGTGGTAGCGCAAATAAAATTTGCGTTTTGCGAATGAAATGGTGCTTTTCACTAAACGAATTGCGAATAAATGAACCTTCACATAAAGCGCATTTGGATGAGGAACATACGTTTCTTAATAAACGGGATGAGTGAGGATGAGAGAACCACAAATGCACCAAGTGCGTGTGCCCACAAAAGCATCCAAGCAAGTACCCATTCAATCATTCGGTTCTCACAAACTGCGTAAAGAAGCGTGCAACCGTCACCGCTTACCGGCGTTCCGGGAGAGGCAAGCTCCTTGATCATGGATGTGGACATGCCCACATTGGGCAACGGGGTAGTTCGCCCAGGTTCGCTCGGATGATGATGACACACGTGCTCCCGCATCTGTTGGATTAGATGTTCTTTGGTCTGAAGCATCAGTTCCAAATCCGTTTTCTCACTGAGTAATTGATCAGCTTGACGCTTGCTCACGAAATGTTTACGCCGAAGCACCGCGTTCAACTTAGCCAGTCGCGTAGCTTGCTGTTGCATCTAAAAACACACCCGTTGGGTAGTGAATGAGGGAAGAGAGATACGGAGAAACTATGAACGAAACGAAGCAACAGAGGCTAAAACAATTATTTCCCGAAATGAAATTGAAAGAACACAACACTGCAAGCGAGAACGATTTAATTCCGGAATCATTTCGCTGTATCTCAACTAGTACTTACTGCAAAAAAAGTTTATATACTACAGGTCATGACAGTCTAACATGGTATCAGTTCCTTCTTCCGCTTACGTGGTCACCAAGGCAACGCCAGACTGATGTAGGCCTCCTTCTTCTGACACAGTAGGGGCCCTCGGCGCTTGATTGCTATGGCCTCTGAAAATCTTGGCCGCCGCCCATTCAGGCTAGTGTAAACAATCCGAAACAAAGTCCCACGATCAGCTTGTTGGTCAGTCTGCAGCAGATGGCGAGCAATTGATGACGCTCTGTGAGAAGGGCTTGATGGCGCTACACAAACAACCTGTGATATATAAACTTTTTTTCTGCAGTAAGTACCAGTTGAGATGCAGCGAAATGATTCGGAATTAAATCGTGCTCGCTTGTAGTGTTGTGTTCTTTTTTCGAGAGGCTAAAAGGATAAATTTACAAGAGAAGTGATAGAGGCAAATACATGTAAACGTGTACGGGTGGGATTCAGCAACAACAATTTGAACAATTAACATTGTCTTAGAAGCTCATTCGGTGGACTCCGGTAAATTCTAAGGAAAACCTATCGGGGCAGTCAGCTTACATGCTAACTGGTGGATGCTACATGCTTCTGTAAGTTGGATGGGTAAATTCGAATGTGAAAAGACCAGTGCTATCGGTGTGGGCTCGTAGCTCAGCTGGTAGAGCATGCAAGTACAAAGCGTAGGCGGCGTCCGTGCATGGGTTTGAATCCCACCGAGGCTACTGAACTTTTCACAATCGACATACAAACTTCAAGTCTGCCAAACAACAATTTGAACGATCCTGTGAAGTATCCATTGCAGGACGAGAGAACAACGACACCATCATAATTCAACAAAAAAAGTGCTAAACGAAAAGAAACTAATTTCATTATGTAAACGCGAGAAACTTAGGCGAGAAAAAGCAATTAGATACGGTAGGAATAATCCATCTAGAATAATCAGTAACCTTACCTAGCCGCGAAATCTAGTCAAATCAAGACATTACAAAAAATCATTTATGAGAAGCGCTATCCGAAAAACGACAGAACATCCAATGCAATTGACTTCAATCAATTAGTATGCAATTAGCTACGCGGATCAATCGATCACTGCTCAAATGGGGATGACATTGGTTTGGGTAAACAATAAATGAGACCTAGATGAAGTACAACATATGAAAGAAAAGTCGGCTACTGGCAGGTTACTATTAACGAGGAACGGGCAACGAGGCAACATGAATTGTTCCGAGCTCGTATACAAGGATAAAGCATCGGCATGTGAAACGTACAAGAAAAAAAAACGATGGAGGTATATACATATATAATCACCCTCCCCTTCTAACTCGTGAAATACTCCTACACTACCAAGTGTCTCAAATAGTCTCTGCTGAGCGGACCCTAAATAATGCTTTCCCTACCAAAGTGAGAGGACAAAGAGCCCATTTCCGGAACTATAACCGATTTATAGACTACAGGCCGCTCGCTCAGGGATTTATCGAAGAATCCCGGTCCAAAACTAACCATTAGTCACCGAATTGATTGGACATAGGTGCATGGGATGACTTGGAGCCTGTCCACAGGGTACATCACACGATGAACTGTACATCATCAAAACAATGGGTTGCGGTTCCTACGCACTGCTTTTCAGGTTAGAATTTGGCTAAACGAAGGCTCCGGTGGTAAATCCCCGAGGAAAAATTCACGTGCTTTGGCCTCAGCAACCTGGCATTATTCCGCACACGAGGAAATCATGAACTAATTTCTTTACAATGATGGTGACTCGGTGGTAACGTCACCAAAGGCTTACCCCGGGGATGTGTGTTCTAATTCCACCCCCACCACCTGACTTCCTCCATTATGTGTTGAATTGCAGCCCATTGATTGGCCGTTTCCCTCTTCCTGAAAATTGTATCTTTGTATATTCAATAAAAGGAGGTAAAATGAACAGAAAAAAGAAAACATTTTGGGCCATGATTTCTTTGGTACAGTTTAGACTAGGATGCGTGGGGAAATGTAATAACACAAACCAACGACCATTGGACCCTTGTGAACAAATACCTTTACAGGACATAAGCATCTAATTAATTTCGACTGTTGCAAAATATATTGGGCTGGAAGGCACCCAAATCCAGACAGATCCTTTGAGCAGGATAAAAAATGGACCAGATTTTTTAATTTGATTTACGACATGCGCAGTAAGAAACAGATACGTCAATTGTGATTCATTAGCCGCTGAACGAATCACCGAAAACGAACTTATGCGGTGCTGAGCGCGTTTTGTTATACAAATGTATTCAAAAATACCCGACAGCAATTGTATCACCTCAGTGGGCTCTATTTCACTGAGTGATTTCATATTGTCTGGCTCTCCTATCCATCTTGCCTTTTGTTTGTTTTTTTAATGTACTTTTACTTCCTTTTCAATTAATTGAATATACATACGCAGTCAACTTTCAGGAAGGGGGGCTGCGGCCATACAAAGGCTGCTAAACATTTAACCTCGCTGCTTTACTAGCACAAAGAAAGTTTGAAACAATGAGGGCAGATCAACGCGAGTAAGGAACGGTGGGTTGTAATTAGGATGCTCCAATTCAGATGTTGATTTCCATTTCAAATTCATACAACCGTGCGGTAATCAAAGTTTTTGCTACGGTCCATTAGTAAATCGAATCCGAACTCACTACGTAATTACTGAAAAGCAAGCTAAAACAAACAAAATAATTAAGAAGACCCTGGTTCGAAAAGGCAACAACTGGAACGGAAAACCGATCACTTCTACACACGACTGATTGATGAAACGGTAGGGCTTCGTGAATCCCGTGGTGTAAGCCAAACCCCTTGTGGTACGCTTCATCTAATTCGGAGATTCCCCGAAATTACTTGTAGATTTTAAGAATCATCGAAAAAGCCTAATGAACATGTTTACACGTGTCCAAGTCGATGCAACTTGTGAATGTTGAACACTCGATTGGATGCCGCTGTCAGTTGCCTAGATGTCTACTTGCAACCAAGACCTTGTCGATCCGAATACTTAGCGCGCTACATTGCGCAAATGTTTGTTCCACAGTTAACAGGCATGTGGCAGTGAAACTGTCACTGTATTGAATGAACCAGAGCGTAATCCAACGCCGTAAATTCTAACCATAAAGTATCTTTCCGTGATTTGAACTAACATTCGAAGGTCAGTTCAATCTCTGGGTCTTAGTGCAATTTGGTCATGCTGATCGCAAACTAATTTACATAACTGGTCTCTGGGGTATTTCCAGCCGGATCGAAAGCCAGCAAAGTAAATTGTCGCAACACAATGTCCATCGGCTTCAGGGGGACCACTTGAATTGTGTTTGGGCCCTGTGGAAATCAGTTGCCGAAATTACCATGACTGGATTCGATAGAAATTATCTCCGTCAAAATTTTACAACCGCACGAATCGCCTAGATACAGCATTTCCAGATAACATTTCTCGCGCAAACAGTGATTCCATGAGTGGTGAAACAGAACAGCCGAAAGCAAGTAGGAAATTATTTATAGCACCAAAAGCGCACTTGTTAATGGTGAATGGGGAGGTAAATAAATCCATCTACACGATGATTGTTTAACCGGATCATTGTCAATCGCAATTGTGTGATTTTGGATCCGAGATAAACATCTGCATAGTGTTGGTGTTGGTGAGTTCTCAGAGCAAGAAGTGTTATTCGCAGACGTTTCGTAGCCAAGCTAGGCAACATCATCAGTGCGACTTCGAGGAAGCGCCAATCTCCAGTGGGATATGGTTTATATAGTTCTTTTTGATGATTATGGTTGGCTGTTTGCGTCCCTTTAATCCTGTATTGAGTTATTCTTGATCTGATCATTTGTCCCGGAAGAAAGGTGATTTCAGAGTGTGTACTGACTGCCTGACATTTTTGACATAACATTCACGTGCATCCCACAAGATCACGTGGATGTTACCAAATGCGAACACTGGTGGCCGTAGGTGCATGCTTCTGTGCGAACGTGCTTCGATCAGAAGCAAATCGCTACTACGGTGAGGAGTGGGTGTTTGATGGATGTTCAATACCGATGACCATTCCAAGTGAATAGGAAAACCAATTTGTGATAAACGGTTCCCATTTCAATTGGGTGAATCTGAAGAGGTTTCTACCTAGGGGTAACACTGCAGTCCAGCTTTTTACATATGTCACTCTTCAGTTGATTTGTCGTGCAACGTTGTTAGGGTAACAATAAAAAACTCAATTTAGGACATGATACTACACAACCTTGATTTATAGCATCGTTTGTCTCCAAAATCAAAATACTGACCCTACCTATTACTTTGTTGATTGCTTTTTCATTTTACTTCTGGCCACAGTCACAGTAACCAAAACAATGTACATTGTCTTTACCTGTTGTTTTCCATGGGTGGGGAGAGGTTCGTGCATTTTCGTACCAGTAGACTGACGTACTACAGCTACTCACTTGACACACATCAGCAACCATAGATTTGAGGTCAGGTGGCTCAAACTGAGACCAGACCCAGATTCATTCGAGTAGTATACACTTTTATGGTCACCGATTCAATTCCCGGAATATACCAGCACGGCACAGTGAACAAAAACAGTTTAGCGAACAAGCTTATTTCTGGTACCTAATGAACCGGCCAATACATCACATTTTATGTTGCAACATTTTGTATGGTGTTTTCTTTACCTGAATAAATTCTTGAGCTATATACCCAAAAGCTAATAAAATTAAAGTGAAGTCTTAGTAAAAAAAACAATACAGCTTGGTGCACAAGAACATGGAAATCGTCTCCAGGTTCAAAAATGGGCTCTGGGAGTACAAATGTATGAGGGCATTTCAGAGGTACAGCAGCAAATTCTAAATAGGCTGTGGTTATAGTGGTTTTTTGTCGGGTTACCCAGATACCACTTGCCACTTAGGTGTTCTCCACGATTGTACTCACACTGGCTGACGAACAAAAAGCAATGTGAAAAAATTTGAAAAAAAAATGAAGAAGCGGCAAAAGCTTCATGCGCTAGTAGGCTCGCTATTAATTCCACTTTCAGTAGGCTACAACCAAAAGAAAGTAATTAGTATTTCTCAAGTCCCAATTGGATGGCTGAAACTAACCGCAGTTGATTTAAATGTCGCGGATGGGGAGAAGACAAAAGGAAGCTCAGAGGCGAGTGAACAGCAACCTGAAATGACAGAGACTGAAGCGAGTACTTTAGAGTGCAACATGCACTCATAGGGTGAAAACCATTCGAACCAGACAATGATGTGACAGATCAATGATTGTGTTGGTAAGTTCGAATTGACCAAGTGTGAACACAGTATTTTTAACTTCCGATAAAGCACGGGATGAACCAGAGAAGCTACGGAGTTTTGGGCGTCTTCTTCAAGTACTGTGACGTACAAACGGGATATGCGCCCCACCCNCCCTATCAATTCGGGATGAACAAACAGTTCACTAGGTTGGAACGAATTATATCCATGAGCAACGATTTTCAGTAACTTAGTAACATCGCATATCAATGAACATTCTTTCATTATGCACGGTAAACACGTGACCAGATTTACCGTTTATCCTTGACCAATAGAACGTAAATCTGCCTGCGGAACGCGTCAACGATAATGAATTATCAATGACAGAGCGATATTTCGTATATTAAGGATAAACAGTGCAACATCGGAGTATGCACTTTAGACAAAAAGCACTTCATTTATAATGGCCTTGGTCACCATTGCGTCGGTCCAGAGATCACGGATTCGAACCACATCGGAGTCAAAAATGAGAGACAAGCGAGTGGATGCTAATGAGAATTCCAGGCTGGTTCCGGCGATATCCAAATGCCCCTGTTATTTAATATGAAATTGCTCAGTCCGAGGATCGTCAATTGCAACAACCGGTATTGAAATCAATCGCTTTTTTTGATTACACACCTAAGTGTGATGAACAGCAGACGGGGCGAACCCTATAGTCACGAGGACCTGCTGTTCAGTGGTGGAAATCGGTAACCTAAGCCCCGGGACTTGGAGTGGCGAACCACATAAGGCCCCGATAAGTTAGATAGAAGTGAAACTTACGTAAAAAACACCACACAAGCAAGCACATACAGCATCACTACTTTTATCCTAAAGGGATCGACACGCGAAACCCAAAATACCAGGGTCCTTGAACTCTAATCGATGATCCACCTGGATTTCCTCAGACCAGATGGAAGGAAAAAGTCATCAACCCACACACTTGGTCTTTGATCCGCAAAGTTGAAGACTAACACAAATTCTATCGATGATGCAACGCGTAGAATGGAACGCATAGCATTCGCATACGGTTCGAATTCCAATGTGTATTTTAGTTTTTTAGTGTGATTAATCAATGAACAAAAGTGTCTAAAGATTCGATGGAAAAATTTACCTTAAGCTAAACCGCCGGATTGATTCCATAAGGCCAACTAGATTTTGACTTACGTAAACAAGTGATATGTCAAAAATTGCGTTCGACCAACTTCCCGGGTCTCTATTTGGTGTCAAATGACACGTCCTCTGTATTCGAAAGATAACTTATCTCCTCGTAGTGACGGTAATACCACACTAGCTAGTGCGCTCATCCCCAAACAACTTTGGATTATAATCATCATTCGCTAGTTGGTGGTAACACTGACCACATGACACCATTTGTTTGTTTTTTCGTTCTCCCTGGTAAGTATAAAACCCAACGTTTCCCCTCAGTTTTCCTCTATGTATTGCAATGATAAATATACACGATTGATTGTTCCTGGCGCGCGCCCTTCGATTGGCTGCGCTACACTCTCGTGCTTGTTTGTCACGTTGGAATTTATCGTTTTCCTCGTCCATAAATCGGTGCTAATCATGTCCAGGATCTATAAATATTCTCGTCAGGACATGCTACGACTAAAAACTGTACTATCCGCTTATTTTTTACTTGGTGAGAGTCATAAAAATCCTTGGATCAAAAAACGCAGACGGGCCGGATAGCAGACTGCACTAACTTGCACCCCCCTGCCAAGACGACTGTGCCATCATGGGTTGTACTAACGTTCGCTCGCTATTCGCGAAGATTTCGGATTTAACCTCCATTCTGAACACACGCATAAATTCCAACATATGTGTTGCTTGTGTACAAGAAACCTGGGTGAATCAAAACATTGAGGACGTGCTCGTGCGAATAGAAGGGTTTGACTGCTACCGGCAGGATAGACAGCGAAGTAGGAAAAAAAACGGAGGCGGTATGGCTACTTACATCAATGTTTCCTGGTGTGGCAAGTCAGAAGTTATATATAACTATTCTGAAAAAAGCATTGACTGTTTATCTGTTCGTTGCCACCCCAAATTTTCTCGTCATAAAAGTACAATCATCACTAATGTGAATATATCTCCCTCTTGTACTCGAACCGAAATTTCTGCTTTCTTTGATTCCTGTATTCCATTTCTAGTTCCATTGTTTGATGAAACTCTCCACTTACTTGTTGGTGATTTCAATCATGCCAGCATTTCTCCCCTACTTCCGTTTGGTCTGTCTGACCTTTCTCATTCTCCTACCAGAGGTAGCTCTGTGCTGGACAGAGTGATCACAAACCATCCCAAATTATTCTCCCTCAAACTAATGTCCCCGGTTTCTACCAGTGACCATAGTATTCTTCTTGTTAGACCATAGGTATACTCTCGCATTGCTTATCAAGCATTCATACGTTCTACTCAGATAAAATTTCATCTAAGGGACTTTCTACCCAACCGTATATCTCTTCACAACCGTTCTATTGTGATTGTTCAGTCTTGGTTCTTGTCCTTCACTTTTTAAATGTGTCAATCTGTTCACTGAAACGATTAAATCGATCTTTAACTTGTGTTGCCCAATGAAAACCCTGTTTGTCTGTAACGGCAGAATTACCTCGCTTTTTTTAAATCACTGAGAAGGTACAAAGAAATGGCCTACAAATCTCGCCATGCACCAACTGTAAAGCAATTTTCTGATTTAATCAGATCCGAGATAACGTACCTAAATGCAATCTTCGCCGCCCAAATTCTGCGAACAAAGAACACCTGGCTTTTATGGCAAAGTATTCGCCTTCTCTGTGGGCAGAACAGAAAACATTCCAATACCTCTGTGTATGTCAGCAGTCTAAACGCCACTTTCATCCACCCGTCAAATGAGAAATAGATTCCCTCATTCCTATGCAATGAATCCAGTTCAGTGTCTTTTTCCAATGATTTAATCTTTAAGCTTCTTCGATCCTGCAAAGCATCTTCAGCTGCAGGCCCTGATGGTCTTCCTCCCGCACTTCTGAAATTCGGAGCAGCTTCCNCCAATATGATGACATCCATCATCAATAAGTCCCTATCTTCCCGATCGATTCCTCATTCTTGGCGTCCAGTGACCATTATCCCGATCCCCAAATCCACGTTCTTAACTGTTCTTGCGAACCGGTTTCGTCCTATCGCGTTGACCTCAGCGGCTCTAAAGTTAACTGAAAAGCTATCCTGAGTCGGTTGCAGTCAGACGCCACAATTCCTCACGACCCCCTTCGATTTAAATATAAACCAAACAGATCCACATTGGATGCCGTGTCCACTCTAATGCATTTTGTCAGGAAGTCATTGAACGATTCGGCCAAGTCTCTGTTGTGTTTTTCTTGACTATTCGTCTGT